AGATACATGTGTCTGCAACCATCAGTTTGATTTGTATTTATCTTCTAGGATTGCCGGAATCTCAAAGTCTGCAGCAGGCATTAAGAGCAACTGAAAAAGGTTTATGTGAACAGAATGATACCCTTAGAAGGACCTAAAGATCGCATTCAACCTCATTCATATGAAACACTAAATAAGATATTGCTAGAAATCTATTAAAATACACTTCCAAAGCATTCTTTATGATAGTCAATGAAAAGAAACCTCAATCAAAGCATCATTCTTCAGCTATTGTGCAGGGTACTAAATGTCTATCTGTTCATCATCTGAAACATCAAAACATCATCTGTTTAGTCTAAACACAGGTGATGCCATTCATCTCCTGGGAATCAGCTGCTACCGTCTTTCAACATTCTGTTTCAACACTCTTTCATCGACCACTCACGTGTCTAATTGCAGTGAGGGAAAGAGAGAGACACTCAGGGAAAGTTTATCCCAAAAAATTACTGCTCACTTAAACAAGTTCTGTCTTGAAAGCACTTCAAACCGCTTTAACAGGTTCTTAAAGAACTTGCTTCTGTAACCCTGTGTGCTATAGAACCTGTGAGAGATCTCTCAAACAATTAATTACAGATAGACTGAGAGAACGAGCTGTTCTTACTAACAACAGCAAAGGGGAATTTTCACTCAGAATTACATTTCTGTCATCATTTAATTCTAAACTTTCTTTCGTACATGGGACAGAAACATATATTTTGAAGAATACTTTTCAAATCATAAAAGACCAACTGCTGTCAAACTCTAAAAAGAACAAACACTAGAGTAGTCCATGAAGTGTTCTGAAGTCACATGACAGCATTGTGTGAGGAAAAGACCTACATTTAAGTCATTATTCACTGAAAACTGTAGCTCTAAAATGTCTTTTTCTTTGGGCTTGCAGATATTCAAACTGGGCACATTTTGAAATTAATTGTTTTTAAAAAAAAAAAAAAAATTCACTGCCCAGCAACAACAACAACAAAAGTCGCTGTTTGGATATAGGCAAATGCTTGTATGATTGGATTGTTATTGCAGTGATTATTATGTTTCTAGCATGTTATATGTTTGGCAACAGTTCTCAACCCTAATTGATGGAGTGTTCAGCTTTTCATTTGTTAAACAACCATGTAGGATACAAGATCTTGACCAAAAATGTATGCACCTCTTGATGGAAATAAATGTTGTGACGTTATTTCCATCAAAGAGGTACATACATTTTTTATCAAGATCTTGTATTGGCAATGCAGGAGTCAAGCACTCTGTAAAGTCTATTCCAGCACTTCCCAAAGACTTTCAATGAATTTAAGATCTGGACTCAAAGGTGCCAATTCATGCGTGAAAAAGATTTGTCATGCTCCTCCCAACCATTCTTTCACAATTTGAGCCTGAATCTTGACAGTGTCATCCTGGAATATGGCCATGATGTGTCTACAGTGTGTCAAAGTGTCATGAAGAGCCGGATGGAATCTTTCTTCGCCTGATCAAATAGTACCGCCAATCAACAATAAAACCACAGAACCATAAAACTTCAAACTGTTCAATATAAAATAGAAGGAAATGGTGTTCATTTTGTTTTATTACTTTACAACCAAATGAATACAATAAGGCTTTTCATCTCTTTCATGTATGTACCGCTGTAACAGGCACAAAAAAAAATACTGATAAAGGTTTAACCTATTTTTAGATTAAAAAATCTGTCAATATATGAAATACAAAGTGTGTATTATGCTTGGACAGGTCACTCTGTATGGTGTCCTGATGATATATTGCACTTCACATTTGATTTGTCCTCACAAATTCATTTATTTTCGCAGGAGTTTACAAACTGTATTTCACCAGTCTTACATTTATTTGTTATGCCCTGACGTGTGTAAAAAATGCCACCTTGCAATTTCACAAGTCATATGTGTCAACAATAAGAGCATGTGAGGGGCTGAAGGGTGTGAAAGCATCGCTACCCATGCAGAGATAGTGTTGCAAAGACATGCTGGCTGCGCGATATTCCTGGGATGGCGATGAGGTTTTGTCAGGAATGTGAATGAAAGGGAGAGGCTGTATAAAAAAAGGACCAGCCTGACATGTTCACACGCACACACATGGACGCACTCAATATCTCTTGCCTCTGCCCTGATGTATGGGGACTTCTGATTGACAATAAACCTACAGAAGTTGCCGGTGCCATTCAAATAAGTGACTCACAGGAAAGATAGACACTTTCTCTCCCTTCACTGCAGCAGAATAACATCTGAAATGTTGGGGATTTTCTCAGGAAAGCAGGGGGACACATTTACCAAAAGCCTACATTTGCTGTCCATTGACGTGTAGAAGAAACAATTGAAATATTAAAGAGATACCATTAAGACCTATGGGCTGCAATAAAAGCAATGATATGATACTCAGACATCAGGTGTTAACAAGACCATGCAATATATTATAAGCAGAGTGAAATCCCATTCCACGAGTTCACACTTACATACAATTAGAGGGAGTAAAGATTAATGCGTATTTGGCGTGCTGTCCGGGGGGGGGGGGGGGGCTCCGAGCTCGGAGTTCGGCCCGAACCCATGCAGAGTACTAATGGTTGTACTCGTATGTAAATGGTTAGGACTAGAAGTGTGGAGAAGGGGTGGTGGAGGGATGCTGTCAACGAATTGAGGTAAGACTGCTGAAAATATATACACCTATTATCGTTGATTGCTGAGTGCTCTCCACTCATGTTAATTATCTGAACGTGCTCCTCCCAAACTTTGTTAATAAAACATAATTTATTTGCTCCTTTTGGAGCTGTAACATGTTGAGCCTTGGGGCTTATTTGGTTCATGGCAGTTGAACTCTATCTTGCAACATATCCACTGAATTCTACTTGTACGCTGACAAACATATTAAACATTTCCGAAGGAAAGCTGTGGCAGCTACTGAAAATTCATCTATGCCATGACAGGAATAAAGAAAATGTTAAAGCTGCAGTCCGTAGCTTTTTTGGGTTAAAAATTATCCAAAATACATTTTTGAGAAAATACATAACCAGCCAGTGTTCAAAACTCTCTGCTTGCCTTAGCTCGATTCAAAACGGTAAGCTTGTAATAATGTTTTTAATCCCAGTGGTACTGGTGGATTTCCGCGGGAGATTCGAGCATGTCTCGGCTAGTAGGCTATATTGCGTGTGAGGATGTTGGACGTGGAGATTTATAGCCTTTTCTCACAGCACTTGATATAATTAAACTTATCAATTTGATGGCGGATCCAGAAAGGTTGAAATGACAATCACCAGTGACAACAGATTCACCCGCTGTAAAATGCAAAAGACTTCGTTC